ATAATAATAATAATAAAAGAACATAATTAATGTTTAGCTTTTAAACTCGATTAGTCTAAAGTAGGAGAAAAAGGGCGAAACAATTGATGACGTTGTAATTCTTTATAAAAATCCACGTTTAGCACAAAAAAAAAAGAAAAAAGGTTAAATGATATAACCTTTCAATAAAATTGAATTTTTGGGACGGGGGGGAAATAGAAAGAAAAGAAAAACAAAAAGAAAGAAAGAAAATTTCCCCCCCCCACCTCACCCCCATCACAGTTTTCCTTTTGTTTTTCTTTTTTTTTCTCCTTTTTATTCCTTTTGTTCAAGTTGGTTTTTTCCTTTTACGTATAAAAAAAAAAAAAAGGATTTTGAAAATCAATCTAAAAACACGTAAAAATCAACCGAAAAAGGATTTTAACTTCCCCCCTCTCTCTCCCCTCCCCGTTCGATTTTAATAACGAAGTAATAATAATAATAATAAATTAAATAAATTTTTTTGCAAACGACAGATTTGTTCATAAGGGAAAATCCATACTACAGTGAAAAATATCAAAAAGCTTATTCGAAATCAATTAACGAACCTGAAGAATTTTGGGCGGAAGTTGGTAAATCCGTGACTTGGTATACTCCATGGTCGAAAGTTATCGATAACTCGAATCAACCTTTCACCAAATGGTAAGGTGATTACCCACCACCACCCCGTGAAAAAATAAAAACGTGGATGTAGAACCTGAAAAGAAATAAAAAAAAAATTAATATTATTATCAGGTTCGTCGGTGGAAAGTTAAACGCTTGTTATAATGCAATCGATCGACATGTTGAATCTGGAAAAGGTGAAAAGGTTGCTCTCATTCACGACAGTCCGGTAACGAATACAATTCGACACGTGACCTACAACGAATTGTATTCGAAAGTTTCACGATTGGCTGGAGCTTTGTCAGCTTTGGGAGTTGAAAAAGGTGATAGAGTACTTATTTACATGCCTCTCATTCCGGAAACCATAATGGCTATGCTTGCAACCGTACGATTGGGAGCCGTTCATTCTGTCGTTTTCGGAGGTTTTGCCGCACGTGAATTATGCGTCAGAATAGAACATTCTGAACCAAAAGTTATAATTGCAGCAAGCTGTGGCGTTGAACCGCATAAAATAGTCAGGTACGTTTCCGGTTATTCCGCTATTTATAAAAAAAGAAAAGAATATTATAAATTATGGGAGATGTGTTTTTTCGTACAGGTACAAAGAAATATTAAACGAAGCTTTACTTCATAGTAAAGTTAAACCGCGATGTTGTATAATATATCAAAGGAGAAACGTCGAAGAATGTTATTTGGAACCGGAAATAGATTTATTATGGGATGATGCGTTAGAAATGACTGAACCTCATCCTTGCGTTCCAGTTGAAGCTAACGATCCTCTTTACATTCTGTACACTTCCGGAACGACAGGTATGTCGATTATTAAAAGTTTTTTTTTTTTTAAATCAAAAATAATGTTATAAATTTCACTTACAGATCAGCCGAAAGGTATATTGAGGCCTACCGGAGGCCACATAGCTACACTTGCGTGGACGATGTCGACAATTTACGGTATGGGTCCAAATGATGTTTGGCTCTCGGCTTCGGATTTGGGTTGGGTCGTGGGTCATTCTTACATATGCTACGGTCCTCTCGTTTACGGTATCACGTCTGTGATGTACGAAGGAAAACCAGATCGAACTCCCGATCCTGGTGCTTACTTCAGGTGACTATTTTTAAATCAACCGAACTTTATTTTACATGTGACGTCATTCAATGGATATAAATATTTTTCCCAGAGTAATACAAAATCATCAGGTAAATGCAATATTAACCGCTCCGACGGCTCTTCGAGTCATTCGAAGAGAAGATCAAGAAGCTGTGTACAGTCGAAAATACTCTACAAAGTCACTGAGGCATATATTCATAGCCGGAGAACATTCAGATGATGAAACAAAAATGTGGGCAGCAAAAGTTTTTAAGGTACGCGAATAAAACGATTGTAAAACTTTTTACATGAAAAAAAAATTTTTTTTGTTAAATTTTCGTTATCAGGTACCCATACTTAATCATTGGTGGCAAACGGAAACCGGTCATTCGATTACTGCTACATGTATTGGGTTTAATCATTCGGTAGATCCTCCAAGATTTTCAGCTGGTCTTCCATTTCCGGGATACGATGGTAATAAAAAAATTCACATAAATCGTATTAAATTATAAAAAAAAAAAAAGAAAATTATGAATTTCTTTTTTTTTTTTTTTAATCAAGTCCGAATACTGAGAAAAGATGGAACGGAAGCGGATTTTTTAGAACTCGGACGAATCGTCGTCAAACTTCCTCTTCCTCCGGGAACTATGTCAACATTGTACAAAGCCGACGATAGATTTATAGAAACTTATTTCACCAAGTACCCCGTGAGTTAAAAAAAAAAAATTTTTTGTATCACTTTTAAACAAAATTCACACACTTTTTTTTTTATCACCGGAAAAACTTTTTCCAGGGTTATTATGATACGATGGATGCCGGATACGTCGACGAATTCGGTTACGTTTACGTTACTGCCAGAGATGATGACGTCATAAACGTTGCCGGACATAGGTTGTCGACTGCAGCTTTGGAAAACGTTATAATGAGTCATTCATCGGTATCTGATGCTGCAGTGATCGGAGTACCGGAACCTACAAAAGGAGAAATACCGTTTTGTTTTTTTACATTAAAAAAAGGTTTGATTTTAAAAAAAATTAGCTCTCATGCTCATACTCTTATTTACTTACTTTTTTTTGTAATTTAAAAAGGAGTAACAGAAAGTCCAGAAAAAATCACCGAAGATCTCGTCGATATGGTTCGTGATTTAATCGGTCCGATAGCAGCATTTAAATTAGCAGCTCCGATAAGGGCCCTACCTAGAACGAGATCGGGAAAAATAGCAAGAAAATCTATGGCTAATTTAGCAAGAAACAAATTCGTTAAGGTGATTATTACTAAAATTAAATTTTTAACAGTTGGCAACATTTTAAAAAAAAACGTTAAAAATTTTTTTTCTTTTTTTTTTTGTTAAAGATATCCGGAACAATCGAAGATCCCACAATTTACAAAGACGTTAAAAATATTTTACAAAATTACGGATATGCTCGAACTGCACCCGATCCAAAATGACAAATCCTCCATTTTTTTTTATTATTATTTAATTATCATTATTATCGGTATGCACCACGATCGATATTTTTTTATCCAGTATTAGAGCTCTTAAGGGAATTATATATACAAACTAGGGCGAAATTTTTTTTTTTCCCTTTCAATACATATTATTATTATTATTCCCTTTAAATTTTTTTTTTTTCTCTTCCTTCATCGATATATGTATTTTTTCCATTTCGAGCTTATTTTATACCTAATTATATTATTATTATTATTATTATTATTATTATTATTATTATTATTATTATTAATTATATATTTTTTTTCTAAAAACGTGTTAGTTGGTAAAATCAGGGTGATTTTACATTTATCACGATTTTACATAATCTTTTGCGGTTAAATTTATTTTTTTAAGTTAATATGTCGTCGACACACACATATTTATATATTTTATTATTATTATTATTATTATTATTAATAATACTTAGTTAATAAACTTTTAAATGAATAATATATGCACACGCACAGACACACATAAGTATATTATTGTTAAAAATTATGTAATAATAATAATTTTAACCTTTTTTAATAAATAAATAAATAAAATAAATAAATAAATAAATATATAAATAAAAGATTAGAATTTTTAACAAGATTCGTATCATTGAACGACAGCAAAAAAAAAAAAAACGTATTAATGAATCGTTTTAAGGGTGATATCGAAACGATAGCAAATCCATTTTGCTACGATATCTTCCTCCCCTCCTTCCCCCTTCCCCCTCCTCCTCACGATCGATTCCCTTAATAAATTTATCAATTAATGTCG